ATGGTCTATTTGCTACATTAATGGGTTGTAATCATTTCATAACTCCAAATTTGTTTTAATTGATCATAATTTTCGTGTATTGTTAAGAATATGTGTTAGATTATTATGGACACAATCACATTACAAACTTAAAATAGATTCCACGGGTTGACTTTCTTAAAATTCAAAAAAAATGTTTAAGACAAGATAATAAAAAAAAATCCAAAAAAAAAAATCAATATAAATTCATATTCATTTGAATGCGTATATGATTTTCGAGTTTACCTTGCTTGTTTGTGTTTAAAATCGTGGTATCCGATTTTACTTTATGCTTTTTTACTTATATAAGACAATTCTAATTAATAATAAATTAATAAATTCGGCCAACAATAAATATGATTTTATTTAAATTTTAGATTTATAAAATTTATTGAAAAACCAACTAACAATCAGTAAAATGATTTTTATAAGAAATCAAATTCATAAAGCTTATAATAAATTTTAATTAAAAATTCTGATTGGTTAAAATTGAGCAAAATACATGGATATATATCAAGTTTAAAAACATGGCAAAACAAATTAGAGATGCGGGAAATCTGTTTAGATTGTACTTAACATAAATAGTTGTTAGTAATTACCATATTTTACACTTTAAATTTTTTTAAAATAAAAAAAATGATCAAAGGCGGGATAAATGAAAATTTTTCGAATAAAATTACCAATTATAGTAACTTTTAAGAATTTGAGCGGAAAAACGACATTCTATTTTTGATTTTTTTTTTATCAGTGTTGTTGTTTTAGCCAGAACATTAAATATTAGTATGTTAGGATCGTAGAATAATTAATATGTTATCTCACTAACGCATTTATATTAATATAAATTTAATTTTAGTGTATATATTTATTCTTTGATATACGAGAAAATAATAATTTTACTTATTTTTGTTCACTATATAATACTTAATTATTATGTTATTATACACTTTGTTATCACATAATGTCATTATAATTTAAAAAATTATAGAAGTTGTACGTCTTCTTTTTCTTTTTATTTTATGTAATGAAAAATATTTAGTGCACGTTAGTATTATTTATTTATGTAATCAATTTAAAATATGTAAACAAATTTAAAATTAAATGGTGTCTAAATATTTTACAAAATATACTATTTGTATACTAATTAAACAACTTTGATTTAGCAAATGTCATCTCTTCTATGATCAAGATTTTTCTAATTTGCATTATAAGGATTCATAGTTTATTTAGCATACTTTGCAATGAAAATATATTTATAAGATTTTAATTATAAAAAGAAATCAAAATAACAAAAAACATGGTTGACAATAATATACAAATAAATTCTAAAGAACATTTAATATATTTCAGTTTTAATCTTTTACCATTAGTAAGACCATTTAATGTATCTACTATCTAGTTATTATCTCTTAAATGACAAATTATATTAATTTTAAAAATAATTTATTTGTTATGTATAACGAATAAAGCTTCAGAAAAAATTATATTCGCAAAGAGTAATTTACCAATTTGATTTCGCCTGATTGATTGAAAGAAAAAATTCTATCTTGGCAATATTTATCTTTGCGAATATAATTTTTTCTGAAGCTTTATTCGTTATACATAACAAATAAATTATTTTTAAAATTAATATAATTTGTCAATTTGTTACGATTTTCTATAAATATTTTGAATAAAAAGTGAATATTTGTAAAAAGAAATTAATATTATGGTTAGAATTTAAAATATGTTGTAATATTTATCTTGGCAAAATATTATCAACATGATCACGGAAAATCAATCTTGCAGTTTATTATAATGGATATCAATGAAGTTATTGCAGATATTAATAAAATTATTTAAGAAAATAATATTTTTGATCATATCTAATTTGATTTTATTTAAAAACGTGTAGATAAAAGCAATTCATGTATATATTTAAAAAGTTTCCAAAAGAATATATGCATTAAATGCTTCCATAATTTTTAACTACTGTTTTTAGTAAATAGTTATTCATATATATATATATATATATATATATATATATATATATATAAGTATTGTATGATCCACGTGAGCATTTTATTACCAATTTATTTTTAAAAAAAATATTGTTGTATTTAAATTGTCTCATGACATTAGAAATAGGGTAAATAATTTTATGCAACATGTACTATGCGTGAATTTAGATTTTGCAACCTAAAGAATATTTTGTCCTATATTGCAACCTTTAATACACGACTTTGCATGTATCGCAACCTCCGGTCGTTTTCCACCGGAAAAGCGAGCATGCGAGTCGCACGATCGCAATTTGAGGGCAAATTTGGCATTTTAAGTGAGCGACCATCGGACTCTCCTAAATATCACACAAATTGTGATTTGAATTCACAAAATCGAATTTTAGGGTTCCTCTGCGAAAAAAAAGAGCTTTCTCTGCAAAATTTCCAAGCAAACACTTCGCAAATTCAAATTGATTGCAGTTGTTATGATGGTCTGGAAAAAGCAAATCAGTGATGAGAACATACCACCAGGAAGACTCTGCCCAGATTACGGTTTCTACTTTTGTAACCCTAATTCTCAATTTTTTTTCTGTTGAATTTGGCCCAAATTTTGAAACACTGAACATGTTTTTGTGATTATGTGGTCCCGTTTTGAATGTGGCGACAACCAGTTGATTATTCAAATATGAACATGTGAATGTTGTCTAAAATGTGGTCCCTTTTTTGAAATTTATGAATTAGTTTATTTTTTTATTGAATTTTATTATTTGAACTTCATGTGAAGGGGCTAGGATATTGGCTTGTGTAATATTCTTGTCCCCTTCAGGTCCAAGTTCACAATTTTTTACCATCTCATTTCATTATAGTGGAGGATTTGTTGAACTTGGTGAGACATGCTACACTGGTGAAGCACATGAGGGTAATTCGCGCTGACTACTGTGACCCTGATGAACTCTCACTGATTGAAATATTTTGTATGACTTTTGAAGTTGGGGCAGAAAGTGTTAGGTGTGTGCATTGCAGTAAAAATGGTATTAATGATTAACGGTCTTTGTTTGTCCAGCAAAATGATTTGGATG